TAGGAGACAAATGTCCAGGCTGATGAAGGGTTTTTCAGCTGCTTTAGGAGGTCAGGGTATAATCAAGAGCTCTGACATCTAGAGGTAGAACCAAAGCTTTTTAAGGAGAGGGAAAAGGAAGCAGTGTTCCCAACCCCCAAGTTTTGTTTCCATTATGTTTCTCACCCCAGCCCCTATTGATGAATAAGACACCCCCAAATACTCTCTGGAGCTGCAATCTTGAGTTTGGCATAATGAGAATTCACCTCCTTTCTGAGGACAAGCACCTTGACATCAGCAGCCCCTTCCCAGCACATCCCCTTCCTTTTACCCACTCCATTATCACTCTCACAACTCCATTCCTAAGCCTCGTATTCAGGAAAACAAGAACTTGAAGCCTGGGAATTTCTTGATTACTTTAGTTTAAATCTTTGACAAATCTATTTATGCAAATCAAGAAGCACTTGGAGTGGCGTTTCAGCTTGTAACACATTTAATTTTGAGGCTTTCATTGTTTCACAGAGCTCAATAGTGATTTTTCAATTAAGCTTAAAGGTTTAACACAATAGAAAATTTCTCTTCCCTTTCATACAGCAGATGCCAAGTAAATAGCATTTCAAAGCGGGGGGGGGGGACCCACTTCTGCAACTCCTTTGCTCAGATTCATCCATTGACCTCTCACTGTGAAAAAAGGTTTCAGTGCTGTCTGTCTTTGAATGTGTGTAGTTAAGGATGAATTATTTAGTAGCTCCTTGCGTAGATAAAAGTATGAACAAAGAGAGTGCAGACCTATGGGTGTAGATTTGGTGCTATATCTGTTTTGTCTCTCCATCCATTCTTTGGAGCCAAGGTATACAAGGTATACAAGTAGCTTTTTTAAAACGGATTTGTATAATTCAGTGTGATGATGCCAGAGACAGAACATATAATTTTTCCTTGATTTAAATTTGTTTTCATCTTTTATTGCTGTTATGAGATTTAGCCAAGAAAATTAAAAAAAAGTGGAAGGCAAGAATACAAATTAAACATCTTTGAAAAATTGGCTTTAGTTTAATGCTGTTATCTCTTGGTTCACTGTTATTACAGGGATGGAAATTCAGATTTTAAATATTAGTAGAAAAGGCTAAATTAAAACCAAAACCAAAATGCTGAAAGGAACGAAAGTAGGCCTTTGAATAAGTGACTTTTGGTTTCTGTTTAAATCGGTATATTGTGAGGGTGTGGTGTTGGGCATCGCCAAATGTTGCCAGTATTACAGATTCCCTCAGGTACAGCCTTGGAGTAGCCTAAATTTCTGTTCAGGAACCAAGAGAGATGAATTTTCAACCTGTCCTGTGGTTTCATTCCCAAAATAGTGAAATTTTTCAAGTGCCCCAGTGCTAGTGAGACAGATGCTAGAAACAGTCCAAGTATTAACAGTAAGAGATATATTTTTTTCCTCTTAAAAGTGATGTCTCAATCCAGAACATTGGGCTGTTTTTGAGAGGGAGACAAATCTGTTCTGATTTCCTTCATTATTCAAGAGAGGGAATGGGCCCATCATTATTTTCTGTGAGGCTTATGGAAGATGGGATTATTCATCTTTTCCTTCTTTTTATTTTCTTTTTATCCCCTAAGGCCTGAGATCACTGGGGGAAAGCTATATTTGGCAGTTAGGATTATAGATTTATGAAGAGGGTATAGGCCAATCATTATTTCCTATAGGGCTTAATAAGACTGGAGAAAGGAAACACAGATGTTTATCTTTTCCTTCCCTTTCTTCTTTTTTTTTCCTGGAGGTTGAGATTACTGATTCTAAGGCCTGAATGTTGAGAGAAAGAGACACAAGCCTCCAGCATGTTGGGTGGCTCTCTTGTGTTAAACCACAGGACATGAACAAGAATCATGAGATTGGGAAGGCATGGGTGGCTTGCAATCTATTTGTAGAAAACATCAAACTGATATCCTCACAGATTCACTGGAGTATTTGAGTATTTGGGGGAAAGATTATTTGGAGGAAGTTGTAATTGGCAAATCGGACTTGGACAATAAGTTCTTGGTAGTCTGTTTACAAATGCCTTGATATATCGATGATATTAATGACATCTAGGTCAAGTTCTGCTCAAAGGCCTCATTATAGGAGGCTGACAATACTGGGTTCACATGCCATTGAAACACAAGCATTGTTGTCAGGATATACCAAGGTGGGCAGGCTTAGAATGTGGTATGGAGATCCTTGTATCTGTTGTCAACGAAGCAGCCTGGCAAGGTTTAAGATGCTCCTCACCAGCTTGGCTGCGGTGGGCTGAATTCTTGGATCACCTTAATGCTCTGGTACTACCCCAAAGGTTCCAGAGTTGTCATCTGCACCTGGGATGGGAGATTACACACTGATAAAATCATAAATCCTTGGAGTAGTAAATCATTGCACATACACATCATATATGATATATACATATATGTTATCTATCTACATGTCTCTATTGGACCTATGATTTATGAAATTCTCAGGGAGGAAACTCCCTCTGTCAATGCAGATTAGTACTTGCTTTAAAGCTCCTGGTCTTAGAGAGTTGTGTAGGGTACTGAAAATTTAAGTGACTTACCCAGGGTCACACATCATTTATGCGTCAGAGACAGTTCTTGAGTCCAGCTCCTGTGCTCTTTGAGGTTGGCCTTCTATCTACTTCACCTGTACTACAGACAGGGCCACTAAACTATACATAAGGATCCTTACAGGCCAGATATTGATGGACTCTAAAAACCACATATTAACATTATCTATGTTCTATTGTATTTTAAAAATTAATTTTGTTAAACATTTCCCAATTATATTTTACTCTGGTTCTGGCTGGCCTCAGGATTGTTGAAGGCCACAATGTGGCCAAAAAGGGTGGAGGTCTCTGTTCTACACCATGCTGTCTCTCAAATTATTATAGAATCTGACTAAATGCATTTCCTCTGTTAGTTTGTTAAGATGGGACCTCTTTTAAAAGGTCATGGTTCCAACAACCTAAATTCAGTTACATGAGACCCTCTAGATTCAGAATTCTAATGGTTTCCTGGATGGAGCTTCATTGCTACTTGCCTGATGCTTTTTCGTTTGCATACTTCCCTTTCTGTCCTTGCTATGGCCAAATCTCCTGCTTAAAAGATCTGGCCTTTTTGTTCACCCTCATCCTGAAATCATGAAATGATTGCTGATTGTGATGCCAATTACTATGGATGTCTTAGTCTTGGAAACAACTGAAACTTTAACTTATGGCTCTGAGTGAAAACTGGAAGCTTAGAAGGTCAATCCCATTGTAAGGTGTCATAAGAGGTTTAATATTTTTAGATATAGTCAACTCGTTTTGATTTTGAAAGGGGCAACAGATTAATAAGGTGCTTTAACCAGGTTCCTATTTTCCTCCTGTAGTTTGCTTTTTTAAAAGCTATTTCACCACCCGTTGGAATTCATGCTAAGAGTAGACAGTGGAAAAGGTTACTTGAGAAAATAAAAATCAGTTAAACATTGTTTTTTTAAAAATCCATTTTGACTGATACCTTTTGTTTGTGTATCACTTACATTTCTCATTACATTCTTCCATTTCATTTTTTGAAAGTAAAAAAAAAATCAGCAAAACTTATGAACATGTTAACATTACATAACATTATATCCAATGTTCCACATCCTTACCCCCCCATCTCTGCAAAAAAAGCAAATGGAAGTATCTTATCTTTCATTGGATCCTAGTTTTTGAAGTATTTAGTTTCAATTGAAGAAAAATATTATTAATGTCATCTCTTATAGAGGTCACCTCTTATAGAGGTTTTGTTGAGTTTGTGTGAAATGAATGAGATCATAATTTTTAAAATTATATTTAGCTTTTGCTTACTTATAAAGTCATTGTACTCTAGGATAAATATTTGATGGGACCATCTGGGTGAGAACCTCAGATAAGGGAAATCTCTTGGGAATCAGCATCATGGTAGAAGTCTGATGGGTGGACACTTGATTTTAACCTGATATTTTAACTTGATCAAAGATCAGAGTGCTTTCCTAGGGTACTCTGAGTGAAGCTGATTAGGAAAATAAAGGAATACAGGAGGATTAAGAAGGCCAAAAGAAATGATTTCATGGCTTTTTAGTAAAAAAAAAGTTTCTTTCAAACCATAGCAGACTCAATTTTGGAACTAAAGGAAGTAAGACAGTAATGATAAAAGGCTAGTCATGCTCCTACCACCCCAAAGGATGAATTTTTATCTTGATAAAATGGCTGTATTGAAGCAGGACACAGAAATGACCCCCTGGTGAATTGTTTAAAGAAATTTCCTCTTGTCTATTAGCGTTTGATTCCTCTTCTTTCCTCCTTTTGGACAATATAGCATATTCCTGGGAACATGAGTTTGGAAATTCTTAAACTTGGCTTATAGGTATAGGAGAGGAAAACTTCAGGTTTTTCATCCTTTTCCCACTGATTTCTCCCCAGATTCCGATCTACTGGAGCAAACACTGATTTTATTTTTTAAAAACCATGGCCACTTGATTAGTATGGGAAAGATGATAGTGGAGAGAAGAAAGGAAGTGAATAAGCATTTTAAAAGCACCTACTGTGTGCCAGGCATGGTGCTAAGAGCTTTTTTATAACTATTATCTTATTGGAGTGGGGAGGTAAAGGTAGCAGACAGAAGATGAATAGAAGTACATCAGTGTTCATGATTATATTGCCTGTAAACATTTTAATGAGTACTCAAGAATACACTCATTATGAGTGCTTCAATGTGTGGTTTGAGCTAAAAGTACACAAATTTATGAACACCCGTGAGGTCCCTCAGATACAGTTTAATGTCTCATTTGACGCTCATTAGACCACGGAAGGCAATATGTCTTCAATTTAGACTGATTTCACCTTGTGTAACAAAAATTAGATCCTGTGAGTGGTTCGAGTTTTCTTCTCCCTCTTTCTCTCCCTCCCTCCCCCTCCTCATTTTTGTATTGGCTATGTGAAAAACCCTGCAAGTGAATCATGGAAATTACAACTAGCAACTTTGGTTTACAGCTGAATTATGCAGAAACGAGGCTCAGTCAGTTGGAAAACTGCCATTGTGAGAAGACCTGTCAAGTAAATGGACTGATCTATCGGGACCAAGATTCCTGGGTAGACGATGATCATTGCAGGAATTGCACATGTAAAGTAAGGATCTTTGAAAGAGCACATTTAAGGACCAGATAACTAATTATGGTATAATCTTGGCTCTTGGAGACATATGTTAACTCCAAGAATTATTATCATCTTTTTTTTTTTGTATGCACCCACTGGCAATTTTGAATGATTGTTAAGAAATGTTGGAAATTTGCCATTTAAAAAAAACGTGAATCTTCAGAACATAAAATCGACTTTCCCTTGACAGCAGTCTCTCACTTGTCCTAATCATATCCTTGAGAAGCTTATTGTTTCAGGGTGGGAGGTAGGGAAATGTATCTTTTGGGCTCAGACTGAGAGGTTGGTTTCATTCATCATGAAGTCAAATGTGATGGAAAAAGAACATTGGACATGGAGCCAGAAAGAGCTGGGTTCAAATGTGTTATAGACACATACTGGTTGTGTGACCCAGGACAAAACATTTAACCTTTCTGAGCCACACTTTTCTCATCCATAAAATGAGAACAATAATGCCTCTGATCTCCCAGGTTGGTTGTGTAGATCCAATAAGAATAAAGGGAAAACATTTTGCAAACTTTAAAGTGCTATGGCAATATTATTATAATTAATAGCTATTTTCCCACATTAGGTGCTAAATATGACTTTAATTTGCTTTCCAAAATGTGTCTTCTTCCTACAAAGTTGACAACCATGTCCTCTGTAGTCAGGATTTAAAAACTGGAAGGAGTTTTAGTTTGTAAATCTTGTCCCACTGAAATTATTTGATAAATATCTATAGAATGTCATTGTCTGTCCAGGAAAATACAAAACTGATTGTTAGTGCCTTGACAATGATTGACAGGGTCTGCAAAGGCTTCTGTTTATATTCTTGTAAAATGGGCTTTTGTTTTCTATCTAATTTATTTGTTGTGAGTGGGCATGTGGGATAAAGTCAATGATGTATATCAGGAAAGCAACAGAGGTGGCTTGAGTTCATTCAGGTGACAGAAAAAGGCTCTCTTTTTGATCCAGGAATAAATCTAAAACTTCTGACACTGCTTTTATTTCTCTGAAGTTTCTGGAATGAGGATTTGGGTCTTTAAAAGGAAACCCCTAAGGCCCCTTTTCCATTCCCCATTTCTATTCCCATTCCTTTTCTGTTGCCTTCTTTTATGAATTTTTGTTTTACATCTGTCTCAGTCTGGATAACTCCTCACTCACCTTCTGCCCAATAGAAACCATCCTTAGAACCAAGATATTCATTTAAGAAAGTTTAATTAAGTCTCAATTAATTCAAGTTATCCTGTGAAAGGTGTACATTATTCAAATTGGCACTGCGATATTTTCCATTGGGCCAGAATGAGTTGCCATATTTTTCATAATTATAACTTTGAACCATGTGAATTCAGAAACATGCGACTACTTCTTCAGATTCATTACTCCCAATAATCGGAACCTAGCTATAAATCAGTGAATTCATAACTTTGAAAATGTATATCTGATTCTGCACCTAAAATCTGCCACCTCTCTGCTGAAAGGTGAGAGAAATGCTTTAAAATCAGTACTCTGATGTGGTCACGTCAGAATTCTATTGCCTTTCAGTGTTGTTTTCCTTTATACAAGATATGCCGAAAGTCATAGGGCAATTTAACACTTTGATAACATAAAACCGCACTAAGACTTTGGGAATACCCTGTATTATTATGGTCGTCATGTGAGTCATTCTCCTGGTTCTGCTCCATTCATACTAGTCTTCCCTGCTTTGAGTCTTCTTTCTCTGTTCTTCCTCAGAGTGGAGCGGTAGAATGCCGAAGGATGTCCTGTCCCCCTCTCAACTGTTCTCCGGACTCACTCCCTGTCCACATCGGAGGCCAGTGCTGTAAAGCTTGCCGCCGTAAGTACAGGCTGGGATGAAGATTTATATGCATGTTTCCATTAATGGACAGTTAGTGCTCCTTTCCCTGATGAATAAACACAAGTAAAATGGACCAAAAACAGTTTAAATAAAAAATATGATAATGATGTAAATTAATTCACTAGTAGGGGAAAAAAGTGTTGCAGTTCTCTGGTGTCATTTTTAGAATTTGGGCAGCATGGCATACCTAGGTATACCTAAGCGTAGCAAGTGAACCAAGCTATTGACTTTTTTGTCTATGCTGGAAGGACTGTGTAGCATAGCCAATCTCTCTTTCTTTCTGTTCCTTTCATATTACATTCCATCTCCTGAATCCTTCCTTTTGCAGGCACAGAGTATACACTCTCGTCACTTTCACCTCTTTGGACCACTTGGTTTCCTTCAAACTTATGTCAGCTGCCAACTCCTACATGTGACCTTTTCTGATTCTTCCAGATACCTGTGCCTCCCTCACCTCAAAATTATTTTGTTTTGACTTTTTCTGTATTTTGTTTTTATTTACATGTGAACATGTTGTCTCTCTCTATAGAATGTCAGCTCCTCCAGGGCAGAAACACTCATTTTTCTCTTGATGTCTCCAGTACGTAGCACAATATAGGTATTTAATAAATGTGATTAACTGTGGAAACCACAGCTGCAGAAAACCCATCACCAGATGTTGAATTTGTGTTTAATAGAATGGTGTAGTAGAAATAGTATTATATCTGCAATTATGAGAGACTTGTGTTCAAATCCCAACTCAGACACTTACCAGTTAAATGACCACAGGCAAGTCATTTAACACATCAGAACCTCATACTTACTTGTGTACATATGTATATACATACTTACTCATAAGTAAGTCGAGTACTTATAGTACCCATAAAATGGCAATAATTATACCTGGAATATCTTACCTCACAGGATTATTGTGAGGACCAAGTAAAATAATATTTGTGTAAAATGCCAAGTTATTATTATTCTCATGCTGGGAAGATAGACATTAGAGTCTATTTTCATAATACCTCTTTATATATCCCTTCTCTCCTCTGATACTGCCTCCATCTGGGTGCAGACCACCCTTATCTGGACTCTTGCAATAGCTTATGGGTGGGTCTGTCTGTCTCAGGTCTCACCTCCACCCCCTAGTCCATCCTCTGCTTAGCTGTCAAATTGTTCTTCTTAAAGTACAAATCTGACCCTGTCATCCTCTCTAAGCCAATATATGTCAGAGGTAGGCCTTGAACCCAGATATTCCTGACTCTGGGGCCAACTTTTTATCTACTAGGCTACGCTACCATCTCAAAATTATGGAGAGTTAGAGTTAACAACCGGCCATGCCATGTCTTCTTGAAGAATTCCCCTGAGAAAGGACCCACCACCTACCCAGACAGCCTGTGCTACTTCTGGACAGCTCTATTAGGGAAAGATTTTTACAGCAAGTTTAAATTTACTTCTTTGCAATTTTTACCCATTGCAGTGATTTTGCCTTCTAGCACCAGCCTGAAATCTAATCCCTCTTCCATGTGACAGCTTTGCAAATACTCTAAGGCAGTTATTATCTCTCCCTGAGGAGAGAACTTGTTTAGCTCTGTTTTAGAATGTTCAGTTCAAGGTGCTAGCAGGACATTCAAATGTAGAACCAATTTAGGTAGTTGAAAATAAGGGAGTACAAATAAGGCTGGAGATTGAGCTGGCATTTATAGGAAAGAATGAATGAATGAATGAAAAAAAGCATTTATTAAGCACTTGTTATCTCCAAAGTGCTATGCTAAGCACTGGGAGCACAAATAGGTGCTGCTCTGTTCCCTTAAAGAGCTTGCCCTCTATCTTATTAGAAGAGGAGATAAGATCCGGAGATGAGGCATAGAAGACATTTCAGCTGCATTTGAGATCGAAAGGCCCCATGGTCTTGAGGGCACAAAGGCAGAGCAGATGATAATACGTCTTCTTTAGTGGCATTTGCATTAATAAAACCATGTCAGTCACTGCTTCTGAGCCATTTGACAGTGTCAAGGGCTCTGGTGCTGAAAACTTTCTTTGCTGAGTCTTCAGAAGCCGTGGCTGCAGAGGCAGCTGCCAGGTGTCATGCTACATGGGTCATTTCCCTGGACAATGGCTACAGGCATAGACTAGAAGAAAGGCCAGTGTTCTGGGAGGCACGGCGCTCTCTCTTTGGCTCTTGGGTTTATGGGAGCAGGTGGTGGTAGCATGATCTCAGGCCCCTTCTCCCCAGTGCTTTCTTCTCTGGATAGTAGTTTATTTATTTAATGGCTTTAAGTTTTACAAAGTGCTTTCTTCACAACAAACCTGCAATTTGCTAGTTATCTCCATAAAGAAAATTGTAAGGCTTGGGGGAGGGGATAAAGTTGCTCTTGGAGAAAGTGTAGAAAGAGAAGAGACGGGGTCAGATATAGAGACTTGGGGAGATGGAATGCTGAGCCCTTCTCAGCTACCATTTCTTTTTTCAGATAATACAAGATGTTGATTTTGACATTCAAGACTGAGCATTGAAGGATGGTGGGGGCAGGTGTGAAGTTCAGAAAGCTTTCTATAGAAGAGTGTCTTGGAGTCTAATGTGTTTTACTTTTTCCTTGAAACAAACATTAGGACTATGGACTCTAGACCCAAATATCAGGGTCAGGTCTTCAGATTTAAAAAGATATGTCTGCAAATTTCTCTTTTAGGTTATTGCAAAACAAAACCAAATGAAACTCAGTCCAGTCGCTTTGGTCTGTACTTCATGGAAATATGACATTTTCTGGTTCAAACATCATTGATACAGTGCTGAAAGTTTCAAGGATCTGTTTAAGTTTGAACCTTCGTTTTCCCAAAACTCAACTAAAGGCACCTGATTTGCCTTACGTATTAATTCCTCAGACAGGACAAATGAGATTTTTGGAGGTAGACCAAGAATTGGGATAGATAAGACCAATATTTGGCAGCAGTAATTATATCATGGAAAAGATTGGGGACTGAGACATTGGAGGCACATTGATGATCCTGAAAAAAATAACTCAGGGTGACTTTGTAGATTGGTGCTTACTTATAAACTCAGCCAACTGCAGTCTTAGAGGAGTTAGGCATGCCTTAAATAAAGCCCGTCCTTAAACAACCCTATTCTATGAAGAATGAGGTAGGGCTGTCCAAGGGACACTTGATTCTGAAGCAGTTTGGATGATTTCAGTGTATGCATCTCTGTGCCTGTGTACATATATAATTTGAATAAATCTAAGGATAGGGTCCTTTTCATTTGAAATGTGTCCCAGAAATGATCAATTTCAAAGAGAAAGAGAGGAAACAAACTAGACACATGTCTTGAGACATTACACATCCAAGTCAGCATGTGGTGATGGAGAACAGGCAGATACTATTCTTTGGTCCCCAGCCCGGGCAAAGAAGCATCTGGCAAATTTGACAGCAATGCACTTAGCAGGATGAGCCACCTGGATGAGTCAGCACCAGCTGCAGTTGGGAGCATTGGAGGTTTTTACACAGAAATCTCAGGGCTTTGAAGGTAGGGTCTGTAGATGAAGGATGAAATGGAAAACTTCATCATTTTGGCAAAGATGTCATGTCTGTTTGTGCTATCCAGATAATTCAGGTACAAAGATAAGAGAGAGAGAGAGAGAGAGAGAGAGAGAGAGAGAGAGAGAGAGAGAGAGAGAGAGAGAGAGAGAGGGAGGGAGGGAGGGGAGGGAGGGAGGGAGGGAGGGGGAGGAGGGAGGGAGGGAGAGAGAGAGAGAGAGAGAGAGAGAGAGAGAGAGAGAGAGAGGAGAGAGAGAGAGGGAGAGAGAGAGAGGGGGAGGGAGGGAGGGAGGGAGAGAGAGAGAGAGAGAGAGAGAGAGAGAGAAGTCTAGCATCTGGGTGATGGCATCCATGTCCCATTTCACATTGTATATAGACACAGCCTGAAGGCTTTCAGCACACACCAGAAGTAGACACTGCCCTTTGCTTTCTGTGCTTTCTATTTTTTCCTTAGAGGACAGTAGAGTAGCTGCAAGCATCCTTTCTGGTCAGAAGATACAGACAAATCCATAGGGTCATTTTCTGCTGTTGATGCAGACAGAAAATTTGGTGGGGTAATTTTTTGAGGGAGGGGGGGAGCATCATACTTCTTGGGTATTTTTGGGACTACTTTAAAAATGGGTCAGCCAAATGAATAAAGGATTACACTTCAGGGAAATTTGAGTTTAGTAATAGGAGCTCTACCCAGTTTTTTCATTGAATCTACGTTTAAGGTTCAAATATTTCCCAATCTCTTAGCCTTTTAAGATATCTTTTCCCAAGGTGAGTCTTTGAGTTCATTGTTCTACATTGGTTGACTTTTCTGAACTTGAGGATAAAGTTGCACTTAGATAATTGTTTCTTTTTACTTTAAAATATGGACAGTGCCATGTTTCCCAAAACACATCTGTTGGTGAATAGATTTATAGATTTAGAACTGGAAGTAACTTTGAAGTGATCTAACCCCCTCAATTTATGGATTATTATTATTAGTGGTAGTAACTAGCCAATGCCACTACTAGGTTTGTATCCCAAAGAGATCAAGAAAAAGGAAAAGGTCCTATATGTACACAAATATTTACAGCAGCTCTTTTAGTGGTGGTAAGGAATCAGAAATTGAGGAAATGCCCATCAATTCGGAAATGGATGAACAAGTTGTGGTATATGATGGTGATGGAGTACTATTGTGTTATAAGAAATGATGAAGGAGATGGTTTAGGAAAAATCTAGGAAGACATATAAACTGATGTAAAATGAAATGAATAGGAACAGAAGCAGAACATTACATACAGTAATAACAATATTGTAATGATGATGAATAGTGAAAGACTTAGCTACTCTGATGAAAACAGTGGTCCACAACAATTCTGAAGGACTCATGATGAAAAATCCTATCCACTTTTGGAGAGAGAACTGATAGGTTCTGTGTTTAGAGTGAAGCAGATTTCTTTTTATTTTATTTTTCTTGCTTTTTTGCAATATAGCTAACATGTAAATATATTTCACATAACTTCACATGTATAATGGGTATCATATTGCTTGCCTCTCAATGGGTGGGGTAGAGGTGAAAGGGAGAAAGAGAATTTGGATCTCCAAATTTCAAAAGAATGAATGATAAAAATAAATAAAAATTAAAATAACAATAGCTACCATTTAAATAATACTTCGAAGGTTTGCAAAACATTTAATATATAATATCTGATTTATTCTCCCAATAACCCTGTGAGGGTGATGGTATTATTATCTCTATTTTATTTATGAGAAAATGGAAGCTGAGAGGTTCAATAACTTGCCCAGAGTTACACAGCTAATGAAAGGTCTGAGGAAAGATTTGAACATGCGATTGAACAATTAATTAATTCATCTATACTTGGAGTCCAGCATTCCATACACTGTGCTACCTAGGTCTCAGGTCACATAGGCTGTAAGTAACCAATCTGTGAATCAAGCCTATGTCTTTTGGTTTCAAATTCAGCCCTTGTTCCACTATGCTACATTGTTTTAAAGGACAGCACAAGGGCTGAAGGAGGAAGGGAAGTGAATCAACATTTGTGTACTGACTATTATAAACCAGGCATGTGCTAATCCCTTTAAAAATATTATCTTATTTGATCCTCACAAAAGCTCTGAAAGATAGATGCTGTTATTATTCCCATTTTTCAGGTGAGGAAACTGAGGCAAGCGGGTAAAGTGTCTTCGCTGGGGTCACACAGCTATTAGATGTCTGAAATCACATTTGAACTCAGGTCTTCCCAACTCCAGGCCCAGTGAGCTACCCACTGCAGTGCTAGCTACCTCAAAGGATATCCTTTGATTTAGATACCTTTCTAGCCTAGTCTAATCCACTTTAAGCCAACTGGTGTTTGTTAAGCATCTACTATGCATAATGCACTGTGTTAGACACTGGGACCCCAAAATGAAAATTACTTCAAGGAGTTTATAAACCAGGTGAATACAACATATCAGTCTACAAAGATATGCATGCCAATTTGAGGTGGGAGTGAGGACAAGAGGAGGAGGGTCAAATCTCCCATAGGTTGGTAGCACATGAGCTGAGCCATGAAGGAGGCCAGCGTTGATAGGGGAGTTCATGAGGATACATAGCCTGTGTACCAAAGTAGACAATTTCTCTATTTTGGTAACAGGTTGGGCTTCATGTTTTAAATCAGCTTGGTTCATTCTCTAGTTTCGTTTGTGAATTGGAACAATAAAAAAAATCTAGATTTAAAAAATATATGTGAAGGATTCACAGAAGCCACAACCAAAATTAACATTTTAATAACAATAGGAGTCATAATGAGCTGCTTTCCCAAACTGTCACTCTCTTCCTGTGTTTAATAGTGAGTGAAAGAATCTATCTTACTTTATGAAGACCTTGGCGCCCTGACTCATTTGTCTATCTTGTTACAGCAAAATGTATCTATGGAGGAAAGGTTCTTGCAGAGGGCCACCGGATTTTGACCAAGAGCTGTCGAGAATGTCGAGTAAGTTGGAATCTTAACTTTTCTATGCGGTCATGACCAGTTTCTTAAATGGATAGGTACCACTGATGCATTAGCAATATTCATATACATATATATGTAAGTATATATATATATATATATATATATATATATATAATGTCATAGTATTGCAGGTAAATATGAAGAGGGCTATTTATAGGATTGAAGATTAGATATGGATGGGACTTCAGAGGTTGTTTGGGCACATACAACAACCAATATGACATGATTCCTGCCATCATGGTGCTTATAGCAATGGGAAATGATACATTCTTATATGCCCAGGAGAGACATATGACCCTAAAATAAATATAAGCAAATAGAATGTAAACCCATGGTGGCAGATGGAAAGAACACTGGTTCTAGAATTAGAGAATCTGGGTTCCATTCCTCCCTTTAACAGTTACTACGGGGGCAGTGGATAGAGCACCGGCCCTGAAGTCAGGAGGACCTGAGTTCAAATCCGGCCTCAGACCAAGCACTTGACACTTACTAGCTGTGTGACCCTGGGCAAGTCACTTAACCACGATTGCCTAAAAAAACAAAAAAAAAACCCCAACCAAAAACCAGTTACTACCTATGCATCCTTGGGGAAGTCATTACACCCTGGTGGGCCTCAGTTTTCCCATCTGTAAAATGAGAGAGTTGGATTCCATTATCTCTAAGGTTCTATGTCTAAGGGTAGAACAAGATTGAGCTTGAGAAATTTGGGAATGATTATTTGCAGGAGGATGGAGTCCCAAGTATGGGAGAAACATATTGCTTTCTTAGTTTTGAAACATAATGAAGTCGGTGCTAGATAGTGGCCAGGGAAATGGATGTAGGAGGATAGGAAGAAGAATGGAGGAAGTGGTGGTTGTCCTGGTTCCCAAGTAGATGATTCAAAAAGCTCATCCCTAGTGAAATGGAAAGGGTCAAGGCAAGTGTCTTAACCTTTCTACACCTTAATTTCTTCATTTGTAAGGTGAAAGGATTGAAGTAAATGACCTCTAAGTGCTCTTCATGTGACTATGAGATTCAGTGAAGGCCTGGACCCAGGCAAAGTAATGTCAAAGCTGGCCTACCAAAGTCCTGGGTGGTTCTATGGGCAGAGTCTAGGGAGGAGATAATGGCCTGAGTGGAGACATTATGGCAGGCGGATGTCTAGGAAGTGTGTTCCTGACTTCACAATTTTGTGGAAGGTTGGCTAGCCCTGTAATGTGTAATTATAACAACAGTTTGGGTGTGGCAAACTGCCTTAGCATTTTGAACAAAACCCATAGGTAAACCTGAAATTGAGGGAATGATTAAGCAAATTTTTACACAATATCTTCTCTGTGTATGGAAACAAACCGATACTCTTATTTATAGTGATCCCCATTTCTTTGGGGATTATGTGTCAATGACAAAGAAACTACCTTGGTATTGTGGGGTGGATCGATCATTGAATGATGTCATTTCAAAATACCGGATCAGCTATCCTGTGGCCTATTCAATCTGATTATATAGACTAGATTTGGTAGAGGGTTATAACGGAGCCATGAGATAAAAGTTTAATGGACATTACCAGATGGGAGAGAGGTAGTTCAACGTAGCTGGAGTCAAAGATCCTCAAATCTATTAAACAAAGCTGTGAGTTCTATTTTCATGGTTCCAGGAAAGTTTAGAGGAATAATAACACCAATTAGGATAGAAACAAATCTGTGTTTAAAAAAAACCAAACAAACAACCTTCCATGGAGGATGTCTGAGACAGTTTGAAAAATCAAAACAAATCATTCCTCATAGACATCATACTCAATTTTAAGCAATTATTGTTCTCCTTTGACATTTCTGTAAGTAAAGCAATTTGAGAATGGAAAATCTGAGTTGTATAAGTTGTTAGAAATTGAGGTTGAAATATGATAATAAAGAGTGTTTATATTTAACCAATTTCATATAGGTCCTCTCTCTAAGTAGGGGATAATGGAAGAGTTTCATTTCTCTACCAACACAGAGACCTGAAGGCCATGGGGAAACAAATCGCAATCAAGAGTATTAAAATATGTGAAGCATCACCTTCTTTTGTGCTTGAAATGTTTCTGAAAAACAAGTGAGAAGAGGTGATGGAGTTTATAATTTAGGTGGTCCTCCTTTGTGGGGTGGCACTGATTGAATTCCTGTTGCAGGCTTTGCACATTCACACGAATGCATTTTCATTATTTAGAACATTTTTGTTAATTATGATTTCATTCATTAAATGTGTTAAAGGTCAATTAGAGCTCCCAGGCTCATTTCATCAGCAGACGGTCAAATCAAGCTTCTTTTGAGAAATAACAACACAACAACAAAACCTAATCCTTTCTGGATTTTGCATGTTGTTTTGTAAAAGATTCCCTTAGCAGAACTTGGGGTGGAAATTTCTGGGGCCTAGAAAAAGTAATCCTCGAGTCTATTTTTTGTACCCACTGATAGGCAGGTGGTTTTAGACATATAGAAACTGGTAGGACACATGGCCATACCTCAATAGCCCATGGTCATAATACCATTTGGTGTTTATAGAATGTATCTGAATTCTTCACTTCTTGACTTAACTGGCATGCTCAAGTTGAATAAGGATGGTGTTTCTGACCTTGGACCGTATAGTGGCTCCATATGTTTTAGTAGAACCTCTAGGTCACTAAGAAAGTAACCCATGCAACTCATTCTTTCCAGAAATGCACTTGGCACGCACCTCAGCAGACCATCTCCTCCTTTCTTGGACTCTTACGCACTAAAGGGGTTATTTGGAGAAGGTAACACCAAGTCTAAGATTGGCAGCATATTGTAGTGGTTAGAGCATTGGACTTGGTGTCAGGAAAACAGGGGTTCAAATCCTGCCTCAAGAACTCACTAACTGTGACCCTAGACAAGTTATTTGACTTTTGTTTGCCTCACTTTCCTCATCTGTAAAATGATGGCAATATCATTGTTGTTATCCCATCTCAAATCCTCATTAGTTGTGTGGCCCTGAGTAAGTCAATTAACCTAATTTTCCTTGTCTATAAAATTAGTAACTGAAAATAGTGACACCTCTCTCATAAAGATATTGTGATGATCAAATGGGATAGGATAAAGAAATGCTTTAAAACTTCATATGATTGTGTGTTCCTTCAAAACTGCTTCAAAAAGGTTAAAGGGCTAGTTCAGAGTTGACCTGAGCAAGGATTGATCAAATATTGATTACCAGAATGTGACCAAGGGCACCCAGTAACAGAATCTCTGTTGAAATCGAACAGAAAGACTGTCCAATGCAGGGATTTCTTAACTTCTTTTGTGTCATGGACCCCTTGGGCAATCTGATGAAACCTACAAACCATTTCTCAGAATAATGTTTTGAAATGCATAAAACAAAATGCATAGAATTTTCAAAGGAAACCAATTATATTGAAATACAGTTATTAGAATATTAAAAAAAAGTTCATGGACCTCAGGTTAGAAACTCCTTACCTAATTATATTCATCCCTCAACAAGTATTCTTTCCATGACATACCCAATTGATAGCTGTCTATTACTGGTTGATAGACACAGTCTATCAGTTGTTTTCCAACCTTCCCTTGAAAATCTTTGATGGAGGGGAATGTATTATCTCCCCAGGCAGTCCATTCCACTTTGGGATAGCTTGACCTGTTAATCTTAGTTTCCCTTCCATAAAGACTAAGCTTTTCTCTTTGCAACTTGTACCAATTGGTCTGAAGCACAAATGGAATGGCTTGGGGCAAAACAAAACCAATCTATTTCCTATAGCCTTTCATATATTTTAATACAGCTGTCATATTTCCCTCAACCCTCCTCCAAGCGAAACGTCCCTGTTTTTTTCCATCGTCATGTGGCATGATCTCAAGGCCCTTGACAATATGAAGGTAAAGCTGAAACTGAATGCTTTGGCAGGAAGCCTGCAGTACAGAAGGGGCGACATGCCAGGAAGATCAGAGGAGTGTGTCTAGGAAGGAAAGCCAGAGCTGAAGCCAGAGATTCACATTCCAGGGAAGCAGTCATAGGGGTGGGAAAGGCAAGAGATGGGGACCAAACTCTGTGACTCAACAAAGCAGGGTATACCAAGGAATAAAGCATGGCTTGGACCCAGCCTAGTTTGCTTTTGTAGTATTATTGCCTTTCCTTTCATGAGATGTTGAAGTTTGGATTCCTAATCTGGGGTCCTTGAAGTTATTGTCTGTCTTTCTTTCTTTCTTTCCTTCTTTCTTTCTTTCTTTCTTTCTTTCTTTCTTTCTTTCTTTCTTTCTTTCTTTCTTTCTTTCTTTCTTTCTTTCTTTCTTTCTTTCTTTCTTTCTTTCTTGTCATCTCTCCATCCATCTCTCTCTCTCCATATATATGTATATGTATATGTATATGTATATGTATATGTATATGTATATGTATATATGTATATGTATATATATATATATATATATATATAATTTCTTTCTCTATCTCTCTATCTTTCTAGTTATCTATCTCCCCCCTCTTTCAATCTCTATGTACTTCTATTTCCCTCTCTTCATTGAGTTACTTCTTTCTAGAGATAGACAGATAGATAACTCTATTTGAATATACTTGGTTTGCTTTGTAATTTTTTTATGCATTTAAAAACATCATTCTGAGAATGGGTCTGTGGTCTCCACCAAACTACCAAAGGGGTCTATGATGCAATAAAAAAGTTAAGAACACCTGCTTAAAAGGGCCACTGATTCACCTTCTTCAATAGCAATTTGATTGTGATCCCAGAGAAGATTTAGAAACAGCAACACTTGGGACTAATAGTTGAGAATAATCTTGTTGGAACATTTCTACAAAGTTGAATAAACAGCCTCATTAAGGATGGAAATGTTAGGTCCAGGGAGAGAAAGGAATACAAGACCTGGCCTTATCTATGATGCTAACTAGCTATATAACTATGCATAAAAATCAATCCCTTTGAATTTCAGTTTCCTAATCTGCAAAATGACCATGATAATTATGATGATGATGACAATTTTTTTTTTGTTAGAGGACAGATCTGTCATTTCATTGAGTAAGGGAATTCTGATTATGTAAATTTTCTCCCCTAATACAGGTCATCAACCTATCTACAACATGATTTTAGAGAATTGCTTGGGGTGTTGAGCAGTTAAGAGAGAATTTCCCATGATCACAAACTAGTATGCAAGAGTAGGAAGGCTCCAACCTAGCTGGGCCTTCCTGAATCCAAGCCTAATCCTCTCTCCACTGTATCACAGTGTCTCATGTGTCTGTGAGGCTCACAAAGAGATAATACATGTAAAGCATTTTGCAAGATTTATAGCACCATCTATATATGTAAATATATGCATATATATGCATATATACATACACACATAGCTATATATACATGTATACGCACATACTTACATATACATATGTACACACGTATATACATATACATATATATATATCAGTTATCAAACTGAGATCACAAATGAAGGCCAAATTAAAGGGCAGATATGTATTTTGTGTTGGAATAACGTAATAAAAACTTTACTCCCTGACAGCAGGAGTGGAGCAGATAATGTTGGCTACGGTAGTTTTTTAAAGCATGGAGAATTTGAAGTAAGAATGAACAGTAAAGGCATAGCTGTCATGCCTAGCACTGTTTTCTTTCTCAGCGGCTGTACATCCTGGCAAATAACTGCTGCATCCCAGCAAACTTGTAAAAAGTCTCACATCTACTGGTGAATGGTATGTTTTGACCTTGAGGTCAATACTTAGCAAGAAGCAAAGAGAAACCCATGTCTCAACCAGTACAGACAAACATTCGCTTTTCCTCGACCTTACTGTGAAATTTCTCTCTTTTAACCTTGCCTGCCCCACTGGATCGAGCCCCCTCTGAGTCTTTGTTACTGCTGTTGTCCTGAGCAGATGCAGATAGGCAGTCAGAATGAATTGGATGATGGCATGATTAGTTTCTTGTCTGGAATTGTCATTGAGTTTTATTTCTCACTCGCTATTATGTAGTTAACCATCTTGAGCCCTAACAAGAAATATTTTTTCCTTGTATTCCTTGGCTCCTGAGGTAATTAATTCAAACTGCTGAGGGGGTCATAGGTTTCAGAAATAGAAGGGACCTTAGCAATCACTTGGTCCAACCAGTAATTTTACAGATGAGGAAACTGAGGCCCAAGGAAGCTACATGTCTCAACCACCATCACATGCATCTTTAATAAATATCAGAGCTGAGATTCTAGCCTCAGTCTCCTGATTCTAAAAGTAATGCTTATTCTATAATAATAATTCTGTGTCTCCTATATTTAGTTACTTCTTTCTAGAGATAGACAGATAGATAACTCTATTTGAATATACTTGGTTTGCTTTGTAATTTTTCTATGCATTTAAAAACATCATTCTGGGAAGGGGTCTGTAGTCTCCACCAAACTACCGTGTTTTTTGGGGGTGGAAGGACTTATGTTTTAGTAATCCAGAATTATTACATTTTCTTCTGGCTTTGAGGCAGCTGTGGTATAATGGATGTGCCCTCAGAGTTAGCAAGACCTGGGTTTAAGTGCTGCCTAGGACTCATACTGGTTGTGTGACCCTGGGCAAGTCACTTAATTTCTCGCTGTCTCAAGCAGTTTGCTAAATCTTGAAATTTCAGAGAATGTGCTGACCTTACATTGGTAGGGGAAGTTTCCTCACCTGGGATGTCCTTCCATTAATGAAATCACAAGTCCACCCCTAGTCCCTTATAGATAAGGTTATATATAGCTTCTATAAATTATAGATGATGGAGAGGGAATAGTAACATAGATTATCTAAAAGGATGTAAATCATATTTGACCTTGAAACATGGTTTTGCATTTACATTTGTTTCATGTGCATGGATAGGCTTGCTGCATGCAAAGCTATAGCCCATTATAAATTAGGAATTGGGCAGGAACACTAGTAGAGAGATGTGTACCTAGAAAGAAGTGTAGGCTGGTCACTTGGTAAGTGCAACAGCTGATTGATAGATGGCCTATATGCTCCATTGGCATCCATGTAATGTCAGGAGAACTAATGATAATAATAATAATAACAATAGCAGTTAGCATTTGTTGAGTACTTAAATAATAATAATAATTTAACATATGGAGCTTTTGAGATTGGCAAAGTACTTTCCATATACTATTTCATTTGATCATTACAGAAACCCTATGAAATAGGTGCTACTTTTAATCCCTTTTCTACATATGACAAAACTGAACCTGACAAATGATGTGCCCTGCTTCACATAGCCAGTGTGTGACAGACACAATATCTGAATCTAGAACTTTCTAGCTTTGAGGCTGGCTCTCTATCGACAAATGGCCTCGCCCATAGCAGGCCAATAAATGTTTATTAAGTAGAGTGTGGAATGGAATGGAGTTATTGGCTAATTAAATATTCCCGAGTACCCTATGCAGAAGCAGGAGGTACTCAGACCCTCAAGAAAAAGCTAGTGAGTGACATATACTCAAATTTAGAAGCAAAATTGACCCTAGCCTGGGAGAATGGGATAGGGTGAGGCCAGAGGAGGATTGTCGCAGGTCTTCACCATCTGTCGTTGTGAAAAACGAGTCTTGGGTAGGTGCTTTTGTCAATGATTCATCATATCAAAATTCTTTTGTCTCCTCATTTTGTTTGGCTTCCAGGGTGGAGTTTTAGTAAAAGTGACAGAAGTGTGTCCTCCTTTGAACTGCTCAGCAGAAGATCACATTCTTCCAGAGGACCAGTGCTGTAGTGTCTGCAGAGGTGAGCCAAGATTTAGAGGGCATTGACAGAGGAGGGTTGATGGCTGGGAAGAACGAGGTTCTCTAGAATGGTTCTCTAGAATGAGGAGGGTGGAGGAGACATGGTTCCTTCTGATAGGTAGATGGAATGAATGCTACGCTGATAGTCAAGAGACCAAGAAGTTAAATGCATTACTGCTACTAGTCCGTTATTACAGCCATGGACAAGATACTTCATATGCTTCTGCCTCAGTTTCCCTAGCTATAATTGGGGATGATAATTTCTACTGACCACACAGGGCTGAAACCGGGTCATGCTACTAACTAGAACCCATGTGCCTTATGTATAGTGAATGCTGAAATCTTGTTTAAATTTATAAATGAATGAACTCAGATATATTCAGAAGCGCCAGGTATGCAAAAATCATTTTCTTTGCAACACATGTTTTGGTATTATTGGAAAAAAACATAATGCATAAAACACTTGGTTTGAATCCTGGGTCAGGCACTTGCTTCCTCTTTTACTCCAGGGTTTTTTTAATCAGCTTCCAATGGAAGCAGCATCACAGCATTTGCTATATTCACTTCCCTCCCTAGAGCATGGGTTAGGAAGGTATACAAGGAGCTAGGAGGATATTTGAGGACATTCTCAATGATCCCGGGCAGAATTGGCCTGCATTGTCATTCTGTGATGGGGAGCTGCCAACGTCGGGCAGCACAGCCCCTGACTGCTTCCTCTCCAGATGTCTGATAAAAGAAGGGTCCTCGCCTGTGCCCACATAGGGGGCAGCTCCCCATAAGTTGGCACCCGTTGTGCTGTGTTGTCTATTCCAGCTCGTCGCGGGTCCAATTCCACTCCCAAGTCAACCTCTTTGAACCTCGCTTTTGTCATCTGCAAATTGTATTGATATTGGTTCCCACCTCTCTGGGTTGTTATGAGGACTGGATGAGATAAAGCACATATGGTGCTTTGTAAGGTAGCTAGGTGGTGCAGTGAATAGAGTGCCAGCCTGGAGTCAGCAAGACCTGAGTTCAAATCTGACCTCAGACACTTACTAGCTGTGTGATCCTGGGTAAGTCAATTAACCTCCACATGCCTCAGTTACCTTAATTGTAAAATGTAGATTATAACAACACCTACCTCACAGGGTTGTTGTGAAGATCAAAAAATAATAATTGTGCACTGCTTAGCATAGTGTCTGGCACAAAGTAAGCACTACATAAATGCTGGCTATTATTTTATATTTATTGTGATCTTTTCGGCACCATATGAATGTTTATTATCATAACCACTTATGACATATAAGCTATCTTGTATAAGAGAGGCAGCAGACTATAATCGTTAGAATGATAGACTAAACTGGATTCAAATCCCACCCCTGACAGTATACTGGCTGTGTGACCTTGGGCAAGTCCCTTAACCTGTTAAGGCTTTCTAGTCAACTGTCTTTGCCTATGTGTTATGGAGAAGGTACTGATTTGCATTGGTAGAGGGAGTTTCCTCAACTGCAAATACCCTATTCCAATCCCTATCCCCATCTGCATGTCCATCCCCATCCCATTCCCTATTCCTATCTTTATCTCCATCTCCTTCCCTATCCTTATCCCCATCCCCATCTTTATCTCCATCCTTGTCCTTATTCCCATCCCTGTCCTTATATCCAAACCAGTCTTTATCCCCATCCCCACCTCTATCCTTATCCCCATCCCCATCTTTATCCCCATCCTTATCCTTATTCCCATCCCTGTCCTTATACTCAAACCAGTCTTTATCCCCATCCCCACCTCTGTCCTTATACCCATCCCTATCCTTATGTTGTTTAGTTGTTTCAATCATGTCCAACTCTTCATGACCCTATTTGAGGGTTTTTCTCGGCAGAGTTACTGGAGTGGTTTGCTATTTCCTTCTCCAGATCATTTTACAGATGAGGAAGTGAGGCAAACAGGGTTAAGTGACTTGCCCAGGGTCACACAGCTAGTAAGTGTCTGAGGCCAGATTTGGACTCATTTGAAGATGAGTGTTCATGACTCCAGGCCTGGTGCTGTAGCTGTAGCTGCCCCATGCTTAAATCCATCCTTATGCCTTATCCTTATATCCATTCCCATCATTATCCGTATTCCCATTCCCATCCTTTTCCCTATCCTCATCACTTTTCCTATTACTATTTTTATCCCTATCCCCATCCCTATCACTATCTCTCCTCATCACCACCATTTTATCCATGAGAAAACTGATAATCAGAGAGGTTATGTAACTTCCCACTATTACACAACTTGTAAGTGTCAGAGTTGAAAACTGAACTTGGTTTTCTCATGACTTAAAGTCCAGCATTATTTCCCACAAATCACCTTCTCTTTATTGATAACAAAAGGGTGACATTTGGGAAAATAAATAGCTCAGTGTAATACTGTGTATTAATATTACTGCTATAACTGTTTCATTTTGGACTGCCCAGCAGTTTCATCAGTATAGGGAATTCCCAGTGAACATATTCCTTCCACCAATACAAATTGACTCTTCTTCAAATTTCAATTTTAGAGTTCCCTGAGACAGCATAGGTTAAGGTACTTAATCAGAGGTGAGAATTAATTGAATGCTTGGCCTCCTGACTCCGAGGCTAGCTCTCTATTCATACTACTTCTCCTCACTTTGACAATTACCATTCTGTTAGAATTTTGAATACCTTTTACCTTCTGCAAAGAAGAAAATACTGAAATGTCAATTTCTTGGGCAAGGTAGATATTTGGTTTTCATGAAACAGATCTGTCTGGCTTACCCTCACGTCTTATTTCCAGAATTAAATGACCCTGATAATACGTCTCAATTTGGACGTGAAAGTGGGAGGATAAAGAATCATATTTTTAAGCCTTTCCATTTCTCCTCTATGCCCATAATTTCCTCTGGTATGTATTGTCCTTAGATCAAACTGAATGTTTTATCTCAGGTTGGCATAAGTGGACAATGATTGGTGAAAATTTGGTGGGCAAATGTTGCTTCCAGATAACCATCTTATGCCCTGTGGGACCAAATTGAGTATCAAAAACTATACCTGGATCTTTTTTTGAATTCATTCCTCAAAATACAATCCCACCTACTGGAAAGATTCTTCAGACTTCCAATGATCCAATGAATTTTGTTAGGAGTTATCTGTTATTAATAATCAATACGGTTGTTAGGTGGAACTTATAATTTAATGCAAAATCTATCACTTGATTTTGTTGAGGTGCCAAGTGAGGCTGAGTCTGTGTAAGCCTTCTCCAGTTTATGGTTTTATTAGAGTGAATTCATTGATTGGGGCACCAAGATGCAGGAGAATTTTCATTGCTTTGACCTTTTTCAATAGACTGGGTCTCATCTTTTCTGATAGAGCTTATTTTTTTTTGCATTAACATTTTTCATACCTTTCACTGACCCTGACCCTTCTATCCCCACCTTTGAAGGAGGGACTGAATTAATACTTTCTGAGTCTATCTTGGATAAGGTAAGAAAGACACTTGATTTTAGTGAAACAAAGTTTTTGTTCCCAAAATTAGAGAGTTAGAAGGGTCCTCAGCAACCATCCACAATGGCCTCTTAACATAGGGTCTGCGAACTTTTAATTAATTATTTATTATAATTAGTATTTTGATAATTGTATATCAATAGAACTGGTTTCCTACTATGCATTTAAAAAATTTGACTCTGAGAAGTCCATAGGTGTCACCAGATTACCAAATGGACCCATAACTCAAAAAAAGTTAAACCCTGATTCTAGTCCAATCAATCCTAGAAAGGAACTCTCAGCATGAAATACCTAATAGGGGTCACATCTAAAGCCTCTTGCACATGACATACCTTAAAATATTTGAAGACAGCCATGATTTTCTCCTTTAGTCTTTTCTTCTCTGTGATAAAAATCCCTGTTCCTTCAACCATTTCTCAAGCATTTGTGTGCTCAAGAATATTCACCATCATGGTTACCTATGTCTGGCAAAGATCTATGTTCTTCCTTAAGCTTTAATAACTAGAACTGAACCCAGTGTTTCAGACAGAGTCTGAACAGGGCAGAGTATAGCAGTGCTATCATCATTGTATTCCTGGAAGCTATACCTCTCCTAATATAACTTCACATTCTCTGGATTCAGGATACTTTGCTCTCAGGATGCAACCTTAACCTGCATTAAAGTCTTCTGATACCCCATCAAGGCATAGAGGTGACATTGACTTATCAAATATTATGCCAATGAAGCAGAAGCTCTGGTATCTTGAAATATTTTGGTTCAGGTAGGACAACAAGCTGTCTGTTGTCGAAGGATCAGCCCAGCTAAATTTGGAAAAGCTCAGTCACTGAAGTCTTTAAAGTATTGATCATCTTGTGATGATTCTTCTTTTCATTTAAAGAAAGTTTTAAAATTATTTATTTCTATAAACATTTATTATCTCTTGTTCCCAATACCCCCCCATTAAACAACAATAGCAGCAAACTTTATAATAAATACAAACAGCCCAACAAAACAAATTCTCCCATTGACCATGTCTAAAAATGCACATCTTATTCTGGACCTTATATCCATTACCTCCATGGTAGAAGGTGGATGGGTCAAAACAAATCATGAAGGAACATGCTAAGGTGTGGAGGGGCTATCATTTGCATTGAGAGAGGGAAGCGGTGTGGTAAAGTGGAAAGAATATTGACTCTAGTATCAGGGAGACTTGCTCAAATCTTACCTGTTCCTCTCACCACCGGTGTGATGTTGGGTAAGTCACTTAACTGTTATGTGCTAACATTTCCTTTATAAATGAGGGGATTGGATTAGATGAGCTCTGAACCCCTTTTAGCTCTGTATCTATGATCCTATGACTGAGGAAATGGTGCCTTTTTTTTTTAGAGATTTGACAGTAAGCTTTGGAAGTGGGACTTTTTCTATAGACAAACTACTATGTTGGAAAAAATTAAATCTTATTGAAAAGGGGAAATGCATAAACTTTGTTCAATTAAAAAAAAATCCAACACTGAGTCTAAGAGGCAGGCAATAATAGTG